TAACAGCAAATATTTTGGTTATTTTAATAAGCATTTCAGTGGGCCTGACTTTGAAAAGAGCAGGAGCTTGCTTTTCTGCCAAACTTTATCAAATTTAGCTTGTGGTTTGACATACTGCAAAGTGGATATTTGAATGCAGAATTGCCTGTGCAGGCCTGTTGATTATAGGAGTATGGGACACTGAAGACCATTTTCCTGTAACCAAAGGGCAAATCCTGTCACAGATTGAACTGCCACCACTTTATTGGCAATGGACATGGAATATTTTCTCAGTGCTTTGTTGAACATGCTCTTTTGTAGCCTCATTCTAACTGCATAGTGATGCAGTTCATGATCTTTTTCATTTCATCCTTCCATTTTTTATTTTAATATGTTTAGTTTTTATGCTTGGTTTTAGTTTCCAGTGGTTGACTAACATAATTTTTCTACTGAGCTTCTTTGCTTCATCAGGAGGCTCTGACAGTTCTTCTCGATGCAAAATGTTCCAAACTGACAGGCTGCCCATGTCATTTTAGCAACCTGACAGTCATCCTGGAGTCTCCTTGTGGCTTCTGCTCTTGCTCCTAATGTTTTTTTTCAGATGTTTACTCATTCAGCTAATTCTTCATCCTTTTTCAAAGAATTTTCCACTGTGTTGTGGATACAAATCTTGCAATTTTAATTTAAAAGAAACTTGAGATCTGAAGAGTTAACGTGTGTGAGTCCACGAATGTGTTAAAAGCAATAATTTTTATTATTCCTTTCCTGAAGTGATTCTACAAAGGTATTCTGAAAGATACTATATTCTAAAATGTATACAAAGTGATTCTATAGAGTCACTCTAAGAGAACTCCTTTAGACATGTCAGCTCCCTTTAGAAATAATATCTATTTATGAATTGCATTATTGTTATATATTTATGCCTTGCATACAAGACATTATTTTTTCCCCAAATCTACTGAATTTACTTGTAAGCTTCAAAATACAATTTTTATTTGTTTGTTTGTTTCACAAACTTCAGTTTCACAGTGCTTCTTAGTTTCAAGGAACAACTTACAAGCTGCAGGACTTACACATAAGTAGATGTTACTGCGGGATTTTTGGACCATTGTGCATTGTTAATGAATGATTCTCATTCATATTCCTGCTGGAGTATTTGCATCAGGATATCCTGCATAGCAAGTGACACAGTGCAATTTTAACAGAGCAAAAATAAAGCGCTTTTTTTTTTTTTCTAGAGTTGGCCTTTCTAAGATCTCAGTCTCTGATACACCTCTTGTTTTGCTTTTGACTAAAGCATAAGCATGAGAATATACTTGTCCATGAACATTCTTTTTTTTCAAGAAACAATGCAGTCCCTCTCAGATTTGCCAACTAGCTCCACCTTCTGGGGACTGGATATGCTTATTAACTGAGGTTGAGAAGTTCCAGTGTGAGTAAGGAGTAGGAGATTTTTGTAAAAGTTAATCAGAAATTACAAAAGTAATTAAGTTTTGGAAAACTTAATCACACAAAGGTTGTCTTCTTTACTAGTGACCCATGCAACTCTATATTCTATAATCATTTATATTCTCTCAGTTGCTAGGATAAGGTTTTCTACAAACTTACAATTTTTATTGTTTACCAAAAAGCCAAATACATATGTAAGTAAGGCTCTGCATCCTTTGGGACATTAAGTACTCAGTAGGATTTATTTTTAATAAATTTAGTGTGAATGTTCTTTAATAAAAAAATGGCCTCGAGAATTTCAAATCTTTTAATTCCTTTTTAATGCAACTATTACAGACAAAAATTGCTTATGTTAGTAAATTAATAAGTTAGTATTCCAAAGATGTAACCTCCCCTCAAAAACTGTTGTGAGAAAATTATCTTGAAGCTTCCACAAGGTATGTGCAAATTTGGAAAATCACAACAGAAGGTGGTTATCAGTTGTTTACTGCCAACCTGGAACGCTGTATGGAGGAGAATCCACTTACATTTGTTCTGAGTCCGGTATATTTCAGTATTTTTATTGCTGATTTGCCTTATGAAATATGGATGATGCTTATAAAATTTGCAGATGCTTAAAGCTGGGAGAGGTTTTAAGCACTGTGGGAGCAGGATTATAATGGATCCTGGTGAAATGGAGCACTGAAATATTAGGGTGCAGTTCAGCAGGAGAAATACAAAGTTATGTTCCTGAAGAAACAGAAATCCACAGGGCAGATGGTCTGGTTACGTGGTAGCTCAGTAAAAACAGATCTAAATATTATGTGATTTGTGGCCAGTATGTGACCCCTCTATTCATAAAGTTAATGAATGGTTTGGGTTGGAAGGGACCTTAAATTGCATCTCATTCCAACCCATCTGCAGCAGTTGGGCAGGGGCACCTTCCACTAGACCTGGTTGCTCAATGCCCCGTTCAGCCTGGCCTTGACAACTTCCAGGGATGGGGCATCCATGGCTGCTCCGGGCAACCTGTGCCAGTCCCTCATCACCCTCACTGTGAAGAATTTTGTCCTAATATCCAATCTAAACCTACTCCCTTTAAATGTGAATCTGTTCCCCCTTCTCCTGTCTGTACGTGCTCTTCTTTTATGAAAAAGGCTGTCAGAAATGCTCTTAGCTGTATCCACACAATCTGAAATTGTAATAGGAGGTTCAAGAAGTTAGGTTAGTTCTAGAAATTCTGCTTTCTCTACTCAAATCGGAGTATTTGCCACATCTTTGGCTGTGTCTGTATCTGTATCCAGCTCTCCCTTCCCACAGAAGAGGAACAGATGCCTGTTTGCTGTACCTTCAAGTCTACTTTAAAATGACCAAGTATAATCTTTTTCATTATTTGCTCAAGTAAGAAGCAGCCAACAAACTCTATTCTTACCACATACAGCCCTGCTTATTGGTTCAGTGTGCATTATATCTTTTATGCTTATTTTGCTGCTGTTGCTTTTATTGGCATGTGTTTATTGATTAAATTAATAAATGATTGTAATTTAACTTGAAAGGAGAGTTTAGATTGCCTGGTTTGTCTACACTGACTTCCAGTACATCACTCCTTTTTGTTTACCTTATTTCTAAACTCGTCTGTTTTTTGCAGCAGCCTCTGGTTGTCCTTTGCTTTTGTTCCCTAGAATATACACCCCAGTTAGTCCTTGTTATATTCTTCCCATGAAGAGGGGAAATCAAGTTTTTTCATCAGCTTAAGAAGATTAAGCTCTAAATCTTGGTAGCTCTGCTATGCAAGCTCTCAATTTTTCCAGCAGTCTCTTTAAACATGTACACCAGACCTTGGCACGCAGTGTGTCATCACTCTGTTAGTCAATGACATGTATAAATCACCTCTTTTTGCTGGAGCTTTTACCTGGGAGTGGCTTATGATCTGCTTTGTCAGGATGACACTTTGGAACTGCTGTTTTCCAGGGAATGCTTTCTCGGTCTGTATTACTCATGGTTAAAAGGTATGACAGTGTTAAAAAACATGTTGTCTGACCACAAAGACAATAAAGGAGCTCAGGTTGTTCTCTGTGCCAGCTCTGTCCTTTTCCCCTTTTTCCACTCCTTGCTTTCTGTAATTTCTCACAGCTTTCAAAGTTCTCTCCAGTCTTCTTGAATACAGTTTTATTCATTTATGTGCTTTTCTGGAGCTCAACCAAATTGACTGGCAACAGGCAGCTGTGTCTTCCTGCCTAAAGAACTTCCTCAGTACTAAAGAGGCCTAACTCAGAATGCTATCTGACACAACATGCTGCTGTCTTGCACCTAATTACAACAGATTTTAATTATCATTGATTCTTAATTATGCTAAGAAAATATGAGCCAGTTATGGACTGTATTAAGTCAGTTGCATTCCCAATTTTTAAATAGATTCTTCTACATTGTTGATTTCTCTCATTTTAAACTATACAATGAAACTGAGATATAGATTCTGAAAGAGGGGGATTTATTTGTTTATATTATTTGCTCAATTTAGGGGGTAGGCAAAGCCATATGCAACTACAATGCAGTGTAGTTGCATTTACAATTTTATTTTAATAAATTTTATGTATTTATTTATAAATATAATTATTATATATCCTTTATATAATACATATAATTTATATAATGATATATAATTTAGATTTTAATATATTATTTATCATTTATTTCTTAATAAATAAATACATTTTGCCTTTTACAATTTTGATTTTTATTAAATCGTGTAAAATTCAGGAACAGCTGTGATTTTTAGGCAAGTTTGTGTAAGGTATTCTGATTTTCCTCCATTCCTAGTGATCACTGTATAATTTGTAATGTATTAAGGAATCACATTTTTCAAGCATTTCTCTAGGGGTTTTTTTTCTGATATTCCTCACATGTAGTTTAACAGAGCAAAACATGTTTCAAAATAGTTCTACATCTCTGTGATAGAAATTGCTAAAAATTAGTTCAATGTCTCTAAATACTTAAGGACAACAATATAGAGAGAAGCTAAAAAAAAAAAGACCATGATCTGAAGCTTATTATATTTCCAGCTTCTACATTAAGCGGGTGATACCCTTGCAGATACCTATTTGTTATTATGGTTTGTCCTCCAGCACCCATTTCTTCTGAAATAAATGGTTATTCTCCCTGGTTTTGCATTTTTGATGCTACTTCATTTCTTGCATAGCCAGTTGTAAGTCCTGGGAAGAACAAGAGATCATCTCCACTGTATTTATCTTTATGTGCTAAATGAGGTTTTATGTGTTTCCATGTCTACTCTGTTTATGACACTTAAATACAAGTTTTACAGAGATGCTGGGACTATTAAAAAAAGCCATTGTTTCACAGTGAAGTTGGATTCAGACCAGGGATTTAACCCCAGTCCCAGTGGTAAGATGGTGTTCTACTTATAAGCATGTTCTCCAGTGGCATTTCTGGTCCCACAATGGTTTGGAGAGTGCTGCGGGGTTGCTTTAAAGGGAAGGGTGATCTGTACAGCCACTGCAGCTGTCCTTCCTCAGGGAAAAGGGTTTTTCACTACAAGTTTTCCACTTTGGAACAGATGACCTGTTTTGTTCTAGGTGATTGGTATGAGCAGCTGTACCCGCTGGTGATTACACTGAAGGACTGCATGGGAGAGGTGGTGACCAGGGCCAAACAATCCATGGCATTTGTCCTGCTCCAGGAACTTGCCTGTGGTTTGCCCCAGTGCTTGATGCTGACCCTAAGAAGAGACATCGTCTTTAGCCAAGCAGTACGTTGTCTTGTGTCACTTCCTTCCTTCTGTTGATGTAATTACAAGCATACTGTTCTTGCCAGTATTTGTGGGTTTTTTTGTTGTCTTTTTCCAATTTGACACAACTTTTTCATTTATTTTCCATGATATTCACCTAAATATTCTATAATGTGATAGGAAACTAAGTAGTAAATAGAAATCCATAGTACTTCTATCACTGAGTCAGAGAAGCAGGTCTGCAATGGACTGGAAAAGTTGCCTAATCTCACCTTTGCACAAAGAAAGATCCAGAAATCTATTTTTAGACTTCCTAGATTATATAATTCTCAAGTCTAGCTTTGAATATATCTTGCTGATATTCAGAATCACAGAATAGGTAGGATTAAGTGGACCTCTGGAAGTCATCCAGTCCAACCCCGCTGCCAAGGCAGGGTGACCTAGAGCAGGTGACACAGGAACACACCCAGGTGGGGTTGGAATGTATCCAGAGAGGGAGACTCCAAGACGTCCTTGGTCAGCCTGTTCCAGGGCTCTGCTACCCTCAGTGTAAAGTTCTTCCTCACATTGAGGTGGAATGTCTTGTTTTAGTTCATGGTCTTTGCTCCTATTATTATGAATTAATATTATTATGAGCAATTATAATGAATATATAATGAAATCATGTATATAGTCACTAAACAGAAATACCTATATTCCTTTCTCAAATATGTAGGTGTTACCTCTATACATTGTGTATAATGATAGCAAGCCTCATTTTAACTGTTTGTCTTGTAACGGTACATCTCTTAATTGCATATGTTTTAATTATCTTTACAGCTTGCTGGATTGGTCTGTGGATTTGTAATCAAATTGCACACAGGTTTACATGATCAAGGATTTTTACAACAGCTTCATACTGTTGGATTGCTTGTGCAATATGAAGGACTCCTTAGTACATATAGTAAGTATTGTTCTTTGACAAAGTTCCTTCTGTATCCAACCCAGAAGTTTACCCAGAAGTTCTTATTTTAACCTCTGCTCTGTTTCCAGTCATTTTGCTTGTTGAATCAAATATTGTCCTTATGAGACAGTAGACTTGCACATTAATAGCACAGCTGAAGTCATTGATACTATGTTGTCAATTCTGCAGCAAAAATTATTGATCTGTTTCATTCTGAGTTCCTCAGAGAACACGACCTGCTAATTGTTCCATGCAGACCTGACCCAAAATATCAGGTTTCTAAAGCTAATCCAAACAACAGATTTAAACAGTTGTTGCCTCTATCAGACTTGGCTCTGGTCACCAGTGCTGATAATGTGAAGATAGTCTGAAAACTGTTTAATTCATAGTTTGTTATTGATGACATTATTTGATAGGTATCAAAAAAGGAATTTGGAGGGAGAAATTGCCTTATGTTCCAAACTTTGAACTAGATCTAATGGAATCATTCCCCAAATCAGAGATTTTGACCAAAGTAGAGGAATTTAGCATTTCTGCAGCTTTTCAATGCAGTTGCTCACTTTGAGATCTCTAGGTTTTGCATGATGCTCATTGTTATCTCAAAACCTTTGTCCTCCATCACCAGGACAGCCTTTTAAACACTTTCAGAATAGACAAAAATGGCTTTTCTGAGTTATTCTATGCCCATATAGAGCAGGCTAATTTTCAGAGTTGCTTAATCCTCATAGTTACTGTTTAGGCCACAGAAATGTCAGCAGTTCTAGAAATCAGTCTGGTTTTATGTTGGTTACTCTAATGTGGATTTAGAACTGTGATTTTTAGATGCACAGACTGGAAAATATAATCCTCATATTGCTTTACTCTAACCTATACAGTGACTGATTTGCCAACTCTGTTAATAATCCCTTTAATCTTTTCATGTAGGTGAAGAAGCAGGGATGCTAGAAGACATGGCTGTGGGCATTTCAGATTTGCAGAAAGTAATGTTTAAAGTAATTGAAGCCAAATCAGAAGATTTTTTGCCTATTATAACTGGAAGGCGGTAAGAATTTTTTTTCCTGGAGCCCAGGAAACAAAGCTATAGTTTTAATCTGTAGCCCATGAAACCCAGCCAATGGTTTTCTTGTTGCTGAATTCTATTTTATGGAAAGTGCAGTAGTTTAACTTTTCAGAAGGTGAAGTAGTAGGCATTTTAAAGGTTAGTATGCTCTGGGTTACTCTCCTGATAAAAAGCTAAAAGTTCCAGTTACTAATACAAATTAATCAGAACAATGTCTGTATTGTGCAGAGCTGCTGGTGCATTGTTCACACACAGATACTGACTCCTAGAAGGTGACAAGGTCATAATTTACATATGTTGCCTCTAACTGAGAACCCTTGGTTTTGAATGTCCAGAATTTGTATTTCAGTGTGAGAAATGAAACTGCAATTCCAAGATATACGCCTTGATTGTTTTTAAGATGGAAACAAAGAAAACTCAGATGCCAGTTAGCGTTCAAAACTTAGTGGTCACTTTTAAAAAGGGAAACTTTTTTTAGCTGCTGAAAATCACACGGGACATATGCAGTCTCAGAAATCCTTGCACAAAATCACTTATACTTTATGAATCCCACGTAAGTACTGCTGAATATCAGGACATAAACTGCAATACTTCATTAATTTTGGCTATTTGAGGGTTAACAAGATTGGAATGGATTTTTCATTATTATTATTCTGGTCTGAAGCTCCAAATGTTTTCACTTTTGCTTTCCTTAATAGTATCATTATTCTTAAGATGACTGTAAATTAAATTCAGCTAAAACCAGCAACTTTTAGAAAATATATCTTTCCTCTGAAGGGGGCTTTCACCACTGATTTACTTAATTATTCTGTATGACTCACTCTCATCATATGGGCTTTCTGAGAAAGGATTGAAATAAATAACAGGAAGGCTGGAGTATGATAGGCAACACATTGGGAATAATTGAGAATAATTATGATATGTGGATAAAGCAGAAGAAATGCATTCTTTGTAAATCACAGCAGTCAAAAATCCTGAAAAAGCCAGCATCTACATTTACTGTCTTGCTGCTATTGCTGTTGCACCAGGAGGTCCTGGATTTAAAGGAGACCTGAGCTTTCAGCTGCCTCAGGCATTCTGGATTGATGCAGCAGTCAGTGTCAGAAGAGCTACAGCCCATGATTGCTGTACTGTACTTACCGGCAGATATTCATTGGATGGGATTGGTATCGAAAAAAATAAAACCTATAAGGCTTATGTGGAGGAGTCCCTGTCTTCTTAGAGCTGTGGTGGGACTGCTCCTATCAGGCAGCATTGGAAGTCAACCATAAAAAGAGAAGATGGTGAAAAACCTAGGTATTTCCTAATAATTTTTTAAGAAACTTTCATTTTTTGGTTCAGTTTGGTTGTTATATGGTGTGGCTCAATAAATGAGACTAAAAGATTGTAGAAACGCAAGACAGAAAATTGAGATACAAATTCTTATCTTGAAGCATATTCACTTGTAATTGTTTTTTCTAGGGAAGTATTTAAGCCTGAGATTCTGTGTGCAAATGAATCAAACAAATTAATCCAAAGTGTGTGGCACTGTCTAGCAGTGCATTGACCTGCTGGTGTTGGTAGCTGACACTGGCCACCTGGGAGGTGAAGTTCTGTTTAAGAACTCACATTCTTTTATTAGAGGCCAAAATATGCACTTTTCAAACATTCTTTACAGAATCACAGAATCACACAATATTTTGAATTGGAATGGAATCAACAGGCATCATCAAGTCCAGCTCCTGGCCCTGCACAGGACATCCCAAGAATCACACCCAGTGCCTGAGAGCTTTGTTCAAATGCTTCTTGAACTCTGTAAGTCTTGGTGCTGTGACCACTTCCCTGGGGAGCCTGTTCAACCTGCTCAACCACTCTTGGGCTGAGAAAACTTTTCCTGACATCCAACCTAAACCTCCCCTTACACAGCTTCAGGCTGTTTCTTCAAGTGCTGTCTCAGCTCACTGGAGAGATCAGTGCCCGCCCCTCTGCTTCACCTCCTGATAAAGTTATAACCACACTGAGGTCTCCCCTCAGTCTCCTCCAGGCTGGACAAACCAAGTGACCTCAGCCACTCCTCATACAACTTCCCCTCAAGACCTTCACCATCCTCATGGCCCTCCTTTAGACCCTCTCTAATGGCTTAATGTCTCTTTTATATTGTGGCACCCGTAACTGCCCCCAGCACTTGAGGTGAGGCTGCCCCAGTGCAGAGCAGAGCGGGACAATCCCCTCCCTTGCCCACCTGGCGATGCTGTCCCTGATGCCCCCCAGGACAGGGTTGGCTCTCCTGGCTCCCAGGGCACTGCTGACTCACATTCAACTTTCCATAGACCAGGACCCCCAGGTCCCTTTGCACAGTGCTACTCTCCAGCCTCTCATTCCACAGTCTGTCCCTACATCCAGGATTGTCCCATTCCAGATGCAGAATCTGGCCCTTCACTTGTTTAACTTTCTACAACTGATGATTGCCCATCTCTCTAATTTGTTGAGGTCTCTGCAGGTCTTCTCTGCCCTCAAGGAAGTTGACAACTCCTCCCAATTTACTGTCATCAGCAAACTTACTTAGCATTCCTTTGAGTCCTGCATCCAGGTCATTAATGAAGCTGTTGAAGAGCACAGGGCCACTGATGGAGCCTGGTAGAACCCCACTAGTGACTGGACACCAGCCTGATGTCACCCCGTTCCCTATAATCCTTTGTGCTTGACCCATAAGCCAGTTGTTCACCCATTGCATAACACGGTTATCTAGCTGTGTGCTGGACATTTTGTCCAGAAGGATACTGTGACAGACTGTATAAAAAGCTTTGCTGAACTCCAAAAAAGGTTGGATCTAATGGCTTTCCTAGATCAACTAGGTGGGTTCATTTGATAGAATGCATCTCAGAAAGCTGACAGTATCCTGAGCTACATCACAAGCAGTGTGGCCAGCAGGTAAAGGGAGATGGCCTTCCTTCTCTATTCTACTCTCATGTGACCCCATCTCCAGTGTTGTGTGCAGCTCTGAGACCTCACATAAGAAGGATATGGACCTACTGGAGTCCAGAGGACTTAATGAAGATGATCAGAGGGCTGGAGCATTTCCCATGGAGACAGGCTGAGAGACTTGGGGTTTTTCAGCTTGGGGAAGACAAGGCTCTTGGGAGACCTTAGAGCATCTTCCAGTATCAAATGGGGCTACAAGAGAACTGAAGAGGGATATTTTACAAGGGCATGGAGAGACAGGACAAGGGGAAATGTATTCAAACTAAAAAGGTTTAGGTTATATGTTAGGAGGAAATTCTTTGCTGTCGGGTGGTGAGGAACTGAAACAGATTGCACTATGAAGTTGCTGATGCCTCATCCCTGGAAGTGTTCATGACCAGGCTGGATGGGGCTCTGAGCAACATGGTCTAGCGAAAGGTGTCCCTGCCCATGGCAGAGGAGTTGAAATTAGATGATCTTTAAGGTCCTTTCCAATCCAAAGGACTCTATGATTGTGCATATGAACTTTGAGGTATCACAATCTCTTACACCATGTTTTCAAGAAGGCCCAAAACTGGACTAGCACTTAAGTGATCTAAAACATTGCATTCAGCTTAAAGAAGAGTTGGGTAAAGAACCTCCAAGCTAAGTTGCTGTGACTGACCATGTGTGCTTTTTTTTTTCTTTTACAAAGCAAAGTCCATGCAAATGACTTGTTTTGGGCTTACTGCAGTGGGCAAAAGGTGTGCAATTTCAGCCAACTGAAAACAGCTGCAGGACCCATGACCCCCAGCCAAGTGGGGGGTAGCTTGTAGAAGCCTTCTGATAGGAATAGAAGTGTTTGTATATTTTCATATGTGATGATAACAAATACTAGAGAATAATGCAAAGAAAGGGATTTTTTTAAGCAGTCCTGTTTAGGCAAATCATATACATTTAAATATTTAAGACCTAAATTTATACAATTTCTTCTTAAATAGATGAAGATTTATTATTTAGTCTCTTAAAACACGTTTGGTTTCTCCACTCTGTTTTCCTGAAAGGTCATTTAATGTTAAAAATTATGTACTGATTTTTCCATCTCATTGGAAAAAGTTGTACCCACCTAATCCATCTCCTGCCAAAATCACCTAATAGCTCTGCACTGAATCTAGCCATGAAAGCAAGAAAGCATATGACAATAAAATTTATTGTGATATATCTTTTTCTTCTCTAAGTAGAATCATAGACCTGTAAGTTCTTTGGCAAACTGATGTCAAACAAGTCCTCCAGATTTCAGTACCTTGGATTGTTTCTTTTATTTTGCCTCCACTTGACTTCAGCACTATTCCTGGACTTTCTAGACAGCTGTGTCATAGCTTTATAGCCCTTTCCTTCCATCATCAGAAATGCATTGTTTTCATTGTGAAATTGATAACAGCCTTTCTAAAGTTACCAAGGGTTATCTCTGAGACTTCAAAAATTAATTTGAAAAAAAAAAAAGTCTGATTATTATGATACTAATTTATCATGCCTAAAGATCAGAATTTCTCAGTGTTTTTTCACATGCAGAGATTTGTAGTGATTTTGGGAGTGAAATGTAACAATGCAGTGATTTGGTGGCATTTTGGTTCTGTAGCATATGCTCTTTGAATTAGACTAAACCAACATGTCTCCTCAAGCTCATCAAAGCACTCCATCACAGGAGTGTTCTGGTAGCACTTGACAGCAGCCAGGAGGGCTCTCAGGTAGGCTGAGAATTGTTGCTTCTTTGCAGAGGTCATGGGAACCACATTCTTTACTATCCTTTTTTCTAACTGTCCATTTCTTTCACATAGGTGAATTAAGTAAACAAAACACAAACTTACTTGATAATCAGAACTATTTTGGTTTTCCACCCCCGTCGCAGAGACATATATTCTCCATTCAGGACTGATACTCCCTCTCAGTGGGGAACATTTGGCATTTGTTCAAAGATTGCATGCCAGCTCTACCCTGTATTAAGCAGATGCTGCTGCCCTTGCTGAATGCAATTATATTTCAGTCACAGGCCTGCACCAGATCCATTTTACTTTGTTCTCTGATATATGAGCAGTATAAAGTTTAAACATGACCACTGGCTCTTCCAAGTGGAACCTGTTTTTCCAAACACTTGAGCTGGTGCCAGTTGTCTCTCAAACTTGCCAAAGGTATCAGAGCTACTGCAGAAACTGACCTTTTTCTTCAAGGTTTTCTCACCCGAATTCTCCATGTGGGTAATCCAGATGGCATTTTTATTTGTTAGCAAGTATGTGATTGAAGAGCTAGAGGGACTTCATGACTATTTGAATAGGTGCAGACAATTATCTATCTTAAATTTACATACAAAACCTGTGTGACTTCCTTGGCCTGACTTCTGTAGACAGGATAGATCTTCCTTCCCTTCTGTTGCTGTAATACCCCTTGTTGCTAGTGTCAGATTCTAAATGTTTTCTGCAGGAGTGAAAATTTCAGCCTCCATTATCAGTCAGCCCTCTCTGATTAAAATAGCAGATCCTGGAAACAAATGGGTTTCCTTCTAGTCTGTTCCTGTTTTTTTATTTAGATTGATTGCTCTAACAATGAAAAGAAAGCTAATAAAACCTAAGTTGATATCATCCCATTGTTTCTGTTGTGGAGTCAAGCATCAGTTCTCAAAGGCAGGTGAAATCCAGCTTGGGGCTTCCATGTGATCAGAATTTGGCCTGGCAGCCAAAGTAGCACATTTTTCATAAAGTCAGACCAAACACAAATATAAGCCCAGAACTGCTATATATCATATCCCTTCTCCTAAAACAGGATTCATATTTGTGTAATGAGCCTTCAGTTACTATTTTCACAGAGACAATTTTGTTATTGGTGATGCTTTCTACCCCTAGGGAGAAAATCAAACCACTGAAGAAAAATTGAGTTTTTCTTTGGGGTTTTGTGAAAGGTTTTTGCTCATACTACTTTTAGATACCAGATCAAGTTGTGAAGTAAATTTTTGTAATTCAGCAAGATGCATTTTAAGAGTTGAGGTATTCTTATTGATATTTGGGTAGCAAAGGTCTTTTTTGCTGTTTTTATTCTTAGTTCTATTTTTACTTCAGTAAAGAAGTCAGTTTATATACAGTTATACCTGCTTTTCTTCATATAGCTTGTTTATGCTCTTAAAACAAGCAAGCTGAATCATCCATTTTTATGGTTCAATTAAAGGAAAAAGGGAAGGATTGGTAAATCTACACATTCTCTATAATTTAGGAAGAATATTTTAAGCAAACCAATCAAGAGCCCCATCCTTATTCTTGTTTTTATTTTTCGTAGTGAACATTACATTATAGAGGTCCAGCTTCCAGCAAAGATGTTTGAGCTGCTACCACAGGAGATTAAAGAAGGAAAGCTGCTTCACATGTATCCAGTGCTCTTTAATGTTGGAATCAATGAACAGCAAACACTGGCAGAGAGGTAAGAAAAAGTCATGTTTCATTATCTGTCCAAGTACTCCATGCTGGTACAGGATATCTCTCAGGATTAGAAATAAATCCTGTTTGTCATTTGCCTTTGAACCATCTCACATTGACTCAGTGTGTATTTTAAAAGGTATTAAAGGAAACAAACACAAGGTATGAAGCAGTGCAGAACAATGGAAAAGTCTAGATGAAGATAGGACCATAAGCAGGTTTCATTTCACGGAGTCAGTAACATGTTTCTCTTGGATACAGATGCAAAATGGATTTCAGTTTTCACAGATGTAGAATTTTATTTGTACGCAGTACTTTGAAATTCTCAAACAAGAGTGTGAAAATTCAGAATTCTTATATCTTAAAGATGGGGTTGAAGAGTCTGGACAAGTCATAAGTTAGAGAAATTTTCTCCGCCTTTTAGGGCTTTTTTCCAGAGTCATGGAGTGGTAGTTAATAATAAGGAATGCATTAGTAGTATGTTTGCAGAAACATGAAGGCTGATACGGTTCTGACGTGTTATTAGTACTCCTCTGCAACAGATTGCTGGAAACTAATTAGTTGATATAATAATAGTCAAAGTTTCAGCAGCGTATTAATTTTCTCTTCCAAGAGAAGAGTATCTGTTGGTCATGTTAAATTACTACATTTGTGCAGTGCTAAAACTGCAAGGTAGAAGTCAAGATGCCAACACAGCTATTTTTTAAATTTTTTTTCTTTTAGCTGCTTTTACTAACAGAGCATCCAAAATACTTATCTTTAAGTTGTGTTTGCTATGAGCCAAAAGCTTATAGCAAAAGTGTAGCTGTAGTAATAGAGGGTGACAGTGACAATCTTTAACCTGGACAACAGGCAAGAGGTTAAGCACCACAGGAGTTTCACTTCCCACTCTTTGTAGACAGCGAAGTAAAATCAGTCTTTTAGAGAAGACTACTAAAGAATGCCATCAGGTGGCTTTGTGAATGTTTATGGGAGACTTCTCCAAGCTGAGTGGTGATACATGAGAAATTTTAGGCAGAAAATTGAAATGGCAGACTGCATCAAAAAACAGTAAAAAAATGGCCTTTTACTGGTGAGAGAGTTGGATGGTTGGTTAGAGAACTTGGGAACTTCTTGAAAATGAAAACAGATTATTCTTGATGACATGAAGAGGAAAGCGCTGAAAGGAGTGACATGGCCAAAGTCATAATGTGCAAAACTAACAAAATCAGTAATGACAGTTTTGAGTGGGACACTCATTTTTCAAAATAAGAGATAAGGCATAATGTGGTAACCAAGAAACAAGCTGGTGAGAGCTTACAGGTGTGGGATAGGCAGAAAGTACTGAGTATTGCAAATGTTCTGAAGAAAAATTTGGCAAGGTTTAGAAATAGCCTGATCACCTGGAGGCTTGTAGAGTAGTTGGTATGAAAAGGTGCCTGGCTTGCAGGGGAAGTGGCAGGATGTATTGTTCCCTGTGCACAAAGAAAGCCATGAGAGAAAATGTAATACCCACATATCTATAAATATGGATATGTACTAATATCTACCAAGCAAACCAATTTAATGCTGAATCAGATTTTCTGCGTGGAGTTACAGTCTGCTTCAAAATATTGCTTAACTCCTAAAGTTATACATTTGTTTTTGAGACTAAAAACACTGCACATGATTTTTGGTGAAAAATATGGGGAGTTTTGTGGGATAAAAAACATGAGAATATAAAAACATTTTTGTGGCAAATTTCTAGGAGATGTTACTCTATTACATAAAAAAGATACCTTTGTTTTTTGATAGAATACACTTGAGAATATTTCTGATTTAAAAGAAACATTCTCATGTGACAGTGCAGCAGTGGCTACTGAGGAAGAAGCCAAGTCTTCTCCCTTTGGCCCATTGAAATATTTGCTTCCCTTGTTTATTTGCAGTTTATTTTGTATCTTCTGATCTGTGTCCCCTTCTCTCTACCTGAGTTTCTCACCCACCAGCCTATGCCTCTCTTTTGGTACTCCTCCATTTCCATTTCAAAGCTATTCTAAAGATGAATTGCAAAAACTTGTCCCTAACTACCCAGGGAACATTCCTGTCTTTACAATCATATCTCCCGTAGTACCATGAGATTTATCTTCTTGGCATGTGAAATGTGGCTGTGTAGAAATCTTGATTTCAGAAAGAAAAATGTTTGTTTATGTATCTGTAGTTAGTTTGTAGATAAGCTTCTCTTCCACCTTGTGTCACTTCCATATTGTCCAGCTCTTACAGAAATTAATATGCTTAAGCAACAGCAGCACTAAGAGATGGAGGAATTGGTGTTGGAGTTGGTGCCTATGGTCCCATTTGGAATTCCCCCAAAGTGCCTTTCCATTTACTCAGGATTTGTGAGGGCAAAAAGAATAAGTGCTTTATTGCATGTTTGTAAATTGATTGCTTTGTTAATAAATTTTTGGAAGAATTATCCATCAGTGACAACCTTGTTTCCAAAAATCAGTTCCAACGCATATGAGAACTTAACTAGTGCATGTTTGACAAAATCTAATACATTGAGCACTATAAAACAAGTAATACAAAATCAAAGTTATTTATTTATGCAAAGAAATAATTATGAAGGATAATTTATCTTTGTTTTGGATTGTGGGTTTTGGTTTTTTCATAATTTATTGTCTATTTTCATAGGTTTGGAGATACCACTTTGCAGGAAAACATTAACCAGGAAAATTTAGAACTTCTCAAAGAATATTACAAGTTATTTATGGAAAAAATGCCTCCTGATTGTGAGTACAAAATAATGAGATGTCCAGATGGCTTTGAAAAGCTTTGATGGATAAAAGGTTATAAGACAGTAATATTAGCAGAATTCCTTAACTTGTTCCATAAATTTAAACATTTTGTATCTGTACACAGACCTGCTGATCTCAAGAGTGATTTCAGGTCCAATGCCACAGCTGAAGCTACAGAGAGAATGAAACAGAGGAATGATGAACTGAACAGCTATTTTAAGTTATTAATGTAATACGTTTCTTAATATTTCAAGTAGAGGACAGTCTGTACCTAACTGTATTGGTACAGAAATACTTGGTGGGAAATTCCATCAGCTTCAGTCATTCCCTCTGCTCTTGTTCTGGAAATGTGTTGAGGTTTGGTGAACCACTGAGAAATCTGCAGATGCAAATACAAGCAATGAACCGTATCATCATGATATTAATAACAAGGTTTAGAATACAAGGCCTTTAGAATAGGCCCTGTATTCCATTTTTATAGAAATTTCGTATCATAAACAAAAACATTACTGTGCTGTTACTCTGGTTACCAAAAGCAAGGACTGAAAAGATGCTTGCATCAATCTAATCCTGTTAAAGTAATTTTCATGCCCAATCTATTAGTCCCCAATGTTGCGGATTGTTTAACAGCCTGTTTTTTAAATCCTGTGTAAAGCTTTGGTACATCATTGTGTATGAATACATGTTTATCTCTTATATCAGGATAATTTTAATTTGTCAATAATTTTGACAGAAACAAAAGCTCTCTTCCTAAGCGGTGGGCAGGATGCCCATCCATCCACCCACAGACCTAGTATTTCTAGGATATCTACAGTGAAAGTCATACAACAAGTTGGGTAATTAATTTAGAAGATTCTTGCACTGAAAATATCATCTAAAAACTAACTTCATCCAGATTAGGACTAAGGTAGATCTCATAAATGGATTTGATTATATAAAAGCAAAAATTTGCATGCAGATAGTATTGGCTGCTTTTCATTAACAGAGTTTAAACTTGTACTGCCTTCCTGTATGATTATTAGTGAGCCACACAGCTCCTGGACTTCTTCCAGACTGTACAAGCTTTTGAGAACTAGTCTTGTCTAATTCACCATGTCTTTTCTGGATATTGTAACCTTCTTGCTTTTTTCTCTACCTTTAAGAACCGAGTCTCTTCTTTATACAAATTTTCATGGAACACAAAGCACCTTTTGGCTCCACTGCCCTTCTCAGTAGATCGCTGCCACTATATGTATGGAATCACTCTTTTGCCTTAGAGAAATGTAGCTTTTAAACCAGCCCCCTGGGAAAAAGTGAAGCTCTTAAACTTGTTCATTTTGGGGAGGACTTTAATCCCTCCCCTTTTCCCCCACTTCTGGAAGACAAACCTCTATATAAGGCTGGCAGCAGCCCTGGTGCTGGGGCCAAGTGAGAGGCATTCAGTGTTGATGACTCCTTGATGGCTTTGTCCCATCCTTCCAGATAATTCCCTGTAGTGCCAAATCTGTGCTACAAAATAAATGCAGGACTGTCTTCCAAAAGCTGTTAGTTCCAAACAGTGCTCATAAAGCTGAGCAGAATTTGAGGACTCACAGCCCTGTTTGCCAGGCTTTTGCATCCACCCTTGGCAACCTCCCTTGCCTGCTTCTTCATTCATATATTCCCTTTCAAAGAATTCAATTTTCCACTCCCAGAAAGGTATTGCCACCTTTGCTATTAGTTTTCCTCTTGTGTCTGTATTTCCCCTTGCCAATAATATTCTTGCTTGTAGCTAAGCATACACTGACTTTCTATCTTCTTTAAGATGAACATACACTTTATTATTTACCCATTTCTTAACCTCTTAAATTATTTCAGCAGAAACTGAAAGTAAGAGTGTGCTCCCAGAAAGGTTCCTACCAAAAGTGCTGACCAAATATAGCCCTGGTTGAGGCACCAAAGTAGTACTGCTCTTATAGAAATGCTAAGGGTAGTAAGGGTCCAAAAATGTAAGATTGTTGTTCAGTAATACATAATTTACTGAAAACAAGACTGTTTGGTACTTCCAGGCTCCTCCCCCTTATAATCTATGAGCCTGATTTGATAGTTTAGTACTGTGGGGGACCCAAAGAGTTTAAGTAATTGATCATTTCCAGTTAAGGTGCAACTCATTTGGCAGTACTATAAGTTAGGAGACTCTTGCTATACCTGTGGTGAAGTCATCCCTCTGAGATGTAGCATTTTCTGCTGTGAACCAAAGGAAAGCTGCCTGGAAGCAATAAAATGCTTAATAATACATTAGCATAATCTCAAATCATCCTTGTCATTGTGTGGTTTGTGTTTTAAAGAAACAGATGCAGCCATAAGTGTAATACTCTAGCAGAGTGTGATGTGTGTTTATGTGCTCTGCATTATCTAAGTGTACAATCAGATTTTGTAATATACAGTTAAAACAATCCACATTAAGATTATTGCAAAACTAGTTTGGATGTACTTTTCCCTCCCTTTTTTGTGGTTTTTTGTGGGTTTTTTTTGCTGGTCTGTTTTTAGTGAATTTTTTTAGACAGCACAGTATGAATGAACTTAGTTCTTTTTGAATATATTTAAATTACTTCTTACTATGAATCATGGATAAGGGAAACAACAGAATTTATTTGATATAAAATGTAAAAGCCTATTGATAAGAGGGATCATTCCAACTTGGATCACATTAGGAGAATGGATATTGACGTCCATTAATACCTCTATAATTTTTACTTTTTCAGTTGAGTATAAGTCTTTGGGTTGATTTTGGGGCCTGAGCTGTGGGGACTTTTTCTCTCACTGGATGGACAATTTACATTCTCTGCTTGAAGAAACTGTGTCCATTGATCTATTTAGTTTCACTTTGTTTCACTTGATTCTGAGCCCTTTTTATGGTCAAAACTATAATTAAAATTCTTTTTACTTCACCACCATGAGAAGAAATCATTTCAGAAAACAGATTCTGCTTGTTTCTATTGATTTTCAAAGCTAGTGAAGATAAATGTAGGATTAGGAAAAACCCTCCTATATATATACATATGAAACAGAGGGGGAAGTTAAATTGCCTACTCTTGAATTTTTGCTAGAGATGTAGGATGAATTAAATTTCAGCTTAGATGCCATACCCAGAACAAGCAAGTAAAATTTTGGATTTTAAGTAAACCTGAAATTATTTTCTACTTCACAATAAAGCCTCATTTAATTTCAAACTGAGAAATATGCTTTGTTACTTTTTAGAGGGGATACTTAGTGCTGTTTAACCTTTATGTTACATTATATAAAAAATGAAGGCACATTTCAAAACAAAAATTAGATGTTTCAATTTGAAAACAAAACCAAAATTTTTGACTTTAAAATAAAAAAATCATCCCATCAAAGCAGATTGTAATACACTCAGGGTTTTTTTCTGATTTCCACTGAATGTCTGTAATAGCTGATGAACAGAACTACAGCAGAAATTTGATTTTGGTTTTCACCATCCATTTATAAGATAAAGGTTGAAGATATGTTAAATTTCCACATGAAGATCTTAGGGAGGACAACCTAATACTCAGAAAGGCATAAGGTTTGCTTATTCCTTAAATATTTAGCTGGTTATTTCCATCTTGTGTTCCCAAACAAGGCTGTAAATAATAGACCTGTTCTTCACCATGAGTCAGGACAACTATATCACCAACCTTATCAACTTTATCATCCTTTTTTTCCAGGTTTACCACATTTTCAAGAACAAAATGATTTAAAGGGATTGCTAGAAAGTCTTCATCAAAATATCCAGGCCAAAAAGAGAAAGAATGTAGAAATAATGTGGCTGGCTGCAACGGTAAGCTCTCTTGTTTCAAAGAAATAAATGAACTGATGATGAACTAATTTTTATAAGCCTGCTGATATTGTAAGTGCAATGGATTTTAAGGATATGATTGGAGAACTCACTGGTTAAAGGAGCCAGATGTGCTGAAATGGTTTTCTAATATAGTCACTCATTCCATTCATAAATTTATCTCTTCATCCTCCACTTAAAATGCAGACAATTTATTTTTCTCACTTTTTAAACTGGTAGAACCTGCTAGAATTTGGGTGATTTGTTTCATATTCATTCTTTGATAATATAAAATTACTCAAAATAATTTCCTTTTTTTAGTGTCCTTGAGGTATGATGTGGGCCATGGTTGCTTGCTCTGGCTTTTTTTTTTTTTTGCTATTGCTGCATTTGACTTTTGATTTACTGTAATTGAATTAATTTCACAAATAGCTGTTGCAAAAGACATGCAAAGAACAGACAATCAGACACAGGAAAAACAAAGAAAATTATCTAACAATGATTAATACTTCACTTTTTCCTCATAATTCCTTTCTGTTTCCCAATTATGTGGGGTTTGCACATACATACTAAAAAAAAAAAGGCCAGGAAAACAACTCTTAGATGTTTATAAAGAGCTCAAGCTCTGAATGTGAAATTCAGCTGGGTAGTTGTCTTGTATTTAGAAAAGTACCCTTGATATCTCTGCCGTCTTATACCAGCAGGGAGTTTTTGGTATCTACTGAAAGTGAAGCAAGGCTTTGTGTTTTGGGAGACTTTCATATGTAAATACCCTTCAAGGCAAATAAATATTTGATGCAAAATTATTAATAACATTTATTATATTATAATTATTTATAACATTTTCCATTACTTTTTATTAACAGCAGGGAGCAGACATATATCTTTGTATTAATAACACTGCTGTAAGTTTCATATTACTAATAACATTTTGCCATGTGGTTAATAAATATTATCACATGCTATTGCAGTATAAATCTTTTGTAAGTAAAAATATAAGTTTTTGTTGCAGTACCAGTCCTGCAATTACTATGAAACACTTCTTTTAAAAAAGTAAAAGATAAAGTATAAAATACTAAAAAGTAAAAGATACAGTATAAAATGAGTTACAAAGAATGTGCTAAATCTTTGGATATAGAAAGTTGTATTTTACCATCTATTCAGAGTTCCCTGAAAATAATTTCATCAGTAAAATGCATTCTTAGGGCATACAAAGTGTTCCAGGTTTTTTGTTCACTGATTTCTATTTCTCTTTAGGTTTCCCTACTTTAACTTTCTGAAATGTGTATTTCTGGTTCCAATGATCTACACACTGTTGTAGAATGTTCCATTTATTTCTTGAAAAAGATGTAAGAATAAAACTTTGTCAGTGCAGTAGCTGTGCAGTATCATTTTTTTATTGCAGTAGGTATGTGAGATTCCACATATATATCTGTACCTGCATGTAATCCCTGATATAATTGGACTGTGAGAATAAATCCAATAGACTATATGTTCTTCTCCTCCTGTGTCTTCCCTACATCAGAGCCGATCACTCATCCAGAATAATTACCTGGATTTTTACTTCATTTTTGTCATGATTTTTTATATTTTTAATTTTTTTTAGGACTCGTTCATGTCTAATAGTCCGTATGACTCATGGACTTCCAGAGATACTAGTGTAAAGAGAATTAATCTCTTCAATTAAACAGTTAAGGTCATTCACACCATTATTTAAGAAAATTGTCATATAGTACTTTATTTAAATCCCAGTGCAACTGTTCAAATTTTTTAAACAGATTTAACTTCTAAAATTTTAAATTATACAATGAAAGAAACACTTACAGGTTCTTATTCACTATTCTGTACTGTCACCCTGAAAATTAAGCATTCTGATATTGTTTTCAGAGTTTCTAGACACTTTCCCAGGAAAGTAACTATAACCGTAGATGTTTATACATTCCATTAAAGATATGTCTTTTGATAGACGTTTCTTACAACCAGTGTGGTTAGGAAAGTAGTAACCTAACTATCCAATCCCTGGTCATTGTCAAGAATCTATAAATACTGAAACAACAGAATAAAGCTTCTTCTTCTTCCTCTATCCCACATCAAGCGGTGTGAATCATTTTGTGTCCGAAAGTGACACTGTACCTCTTTGGGTTCTACGTAAGATTCCTTTAATTGATTCCCTAAATTAAACTTTTGAGATTACCCTCACCATGATATCACAAAAGAACTTAAAGTCTCTAAGTATTTTCTGGGCCATTGATTTTAATAGAATTTCAGAGTATGCAATTAACAGATGAAGAAATGATTATTTGCTGCACTGACATTGTGAAGATCATGTTCCAGTTTCATCCTGTGAGCTCTCCCGTGATAGCCAATGTGGGAAGTTCCTTTTTGTGATTACTGCTGTAATTTATTGCCTTGCCCTATTCTAACAAACATTTTGGGGTTTCATATGGTTATACCTATAATTCTCCAGGGAGAGGTGTAAGCAAAGTATTACCTTTTCTCAGGAATTATATCTAAGGAAAGGCAGACCCACACTTAGGCACAGCAGTCCTTCTTCAAAGTTTACTTTTTCTAGTAAAATACTGTTTGAAACCAAAGTATAAACTAATGGACTAAATAAACCACAGATTAATTCTTAAGGGGAGAAATCATCCTCAAAAAGGTCACGTTTCCCTTATGCCTTATAACTTTTTCAAAGTATAAGTGAATGTAGACAATCCATGGCAGTCATTGTGTTAAACTTCATTAATTGTGAGCTATACATTGAACAGTTTACCTGTTGAAAATAAAAGCTATTTAAGTTCAGGTATGTCTGACTCCATACCTTCACAAGAAGTTAGTCTGCTGCATTCGTGTTGGTGAGTCAAGACTTACCAAGGTTTTTCTTTATTCATTGGATATTCAGACAATTAAGCTTTCATTGAAGAGGGTGGTTGCTAGATTGAGTGCGGGAACAGTGAAGGAACTATTTTTTTATATCTTTTTATATCTTGAAGGAACTATATCTTTTATAGTTATAAAAATCCTATTTCAAGTTCAGGGTTTGAATGTACCGATACTAACTTTTAATAGGTGCTTTCTTTTGAGAAATGCTGTAGCTCTCTGGGTGCACCTTCTGGGCTTGCAGAGTTATAGGGGCTGCACAGCCTGCCAGGTGTGGAAGGGCTGACCTGTGAGGCCTGCCTGTGTTTCAGATTTGCCGGAAGCTGAATGGAGTGCGCTTCACCTGCTGCAAAAGTGCCAAAGACAGGACATCTATGTCAGTGACGTTAGAGCAGTGCTCCATCCTGAGGGATGAGCACCAGCTGCACAAGGACTTCTTCATTCGGGCACTGGATTGCATGAGGAGGTAGGTGGGGTTCTGTGCACTTTGAGCTAGGACAGGGCTGCCAGTAGAGAGGATCTAAAGCTGTTTCTAAATGCCCAGTAGAGCCCAGACCTGGCTGAGCAGCAGCCTGACCGCTGGTAAGTCACCTCTTCATGTAGGATCTTTGCAGCTGTGTGTTTTATCAGTAATTAACAGTTTCTGAGATTTTGAAACCTTGCAAGGGTCTGCTCACTGACTGTAGAATCTGAGCAGCACTCTGAACAGCATTTGCTTTAAAAAAAATTACATTTCAGTTTTGAAGGTATTTTAAAAAACATTTGCCCAGTCATTAAATAATTTGTACAACATTTGCACAAATACTGGAAAAGCAAAAGATGCATTTGTTACAGATGAGAATTCTTACTAGTCTATGTTATTGAAAAGAAACATCCAAGTAGGTTTGGACTGGTTGTTGGTGGTATCATTAGTATCTTATAAAATCTTTACTGCGCTTTTAAAAAAGTTAATTAAAACATGTTTTATTCTAAATTACAACTATGCAGAAATTGAAGCTGATGTTGTCAGAAATGTGTAATTAAAAGATGTAAAGATTTCTCATTACCTGAGTCTTTGATGAATAAAAAAACCATATTAAGCAAACAAGTTTTGATCGTAAAATGAATCCAGGTGTTAGATTGTCTAAAGAAACTTTCATCATTGGTTTTAATGAGCTTAATCATATAGTTTTAATCATAACAGTTTTAATCATATTATCTATAGGAGTTTTAAAACATGTATCCACAACACTAGAATAATATATAACAGAGATCATTGTAAAATGAATAGAAAATATTTTGGTCAGCCTGCAAAGAAGTAACTGAATCGTATCTTGGACTTTTGTGAAACACAAATTGGTTGTATGGATTTGTAAAGATCATACAAGTAAACAATCATGTTTACCATCTGTATTGGGTAATTCTGGACCTTTATATTGATTACTGCCAAAATAGGTGTTTAATGTCTAGGTTAATACTGTAGGTTTATCCACTTAGTGTCCTTTTGTCCTTCAGCAAAGATAGCTGTTCTAAAGAAAAAAAGGTAATTTTATAAAAAGTAAATGAGCCAAGATGGCTCAATTGTAGGTTTGGTTCACAAGATGTTGCTAATGCAATGAGATGTGGTGTACCGAACTGTGCTCTATCGTTTTGGATGTATTGTTCCCTTGCATAAAACCCTCTGTCTCTGAAGTAGTTTGATGAGTGAATGACTTTTGCGCAGTCTTTCATAACTATATGTTTTATCATTAATGAATTCTGAGTTTCCTGTGTTAAATTTCATTTGTTGGCATTTCAAATGCTTTTTTTTTTCTGTTATGTCTCCAATAAATGCAAAAGTGTGTAAGCTACAGTGAGTTACCAGACACAGGAAAACTAATTAATTATAAAAAATCACCATAATGTTAGAACAGCATTGAGTAGAGTACTTGAATGGAAAAAACCAGGCATAAATTTAATTTTAAAAGTCCCCAAACTTGTTAGTACAAAAATCTAATATGTTTTTGTAGATCAAAATATAAATGACTTTGAGTTGGTTTATGTCATGTGACTGATTTGAAATTTGAGAAGATTAGCATATTAGTCATTTTTGCAGGTGACAGTAATTTGAAGTCACAAAAGAATGGTGTAAAGACAAAAAAATCTGAGTAATACTTAAAAATTAAATAAGCAGATGGATATATGAGTTTGAAGCACCATTACAAAAGTGTAAAATCAGTTATGTTGTAGTTTTGGATAAAAGCTTTATCCTACTCTTACCCTGTAAATGAACTTCAAACTTGAACCAAAGTAGGTAAAAGATGTGTTGGATGGGAGGTGATAACTTTGACTCAGGGGGTAGGACTGACTGAGGATTAAAGCAAAGGTTTTGCAAGTAGCAGCAGTAGCATGCAAAATAATTTGCACTATCAGGATAATAAAGAATCTTCTAACTATGCTAGTTGTTATCAGTCTAACACTGTTCACATAACTAGAGGTTTAAAAATAATTTTTTTTTAAAAAGGCAGCCAAATTACTCTTTTTCCCTCCCAAATTTCTCTTTTTCCCTCATGAGTTGGTCAATGAAAGGCAAAAAATTCAGAACAGAAGAGTAAAAATGTCAAATGGTAGCATAGTACTTCACAGTCCTTCCATTGAGATTTGGCCTGGGAGTTTAAGATGTGTCTTCAGGTGGGGGGTTTTTATATCTGATGCGACAGACATTCAGCAGGAACTGCTGCTCCCTCCCCTGGGCTAGAGTGCCTTTGGAGCAGTGTTGGAAGGGACACAGCACTGCTGCGTGGGTGGCCTGGCTGGGACCCTCCAGCTGGGCATTGCTCCTGTTGACAGAGAGAGTACCATTGCAGAGAAGGACATTTTGAGACAGCAAACTGGGAAGGAAAGAGCAGATAGGCAAAGGAGAGGAGAAAAACCTCTTGATTTCCATAGGTGTTTCAGCTAAATGTCCTGTATTTCACTTGAGGAAAGTTTGGCAAGTGAGGCAAATCACTCAACTGAGTGATTTTGAGATTTGTGTGAATGAGGTCAATAGACTTGTTTGGTAGCCATTGTGTCACTTGTCCTTTTGTAGTTTCTTTTAATTTGATTACTTTCACAGATCTGAAAGATAATGCTGTGCATTTCTAAAATTTTCATTAGGTACTTTTAGAAGCTTTTAGAATGATTTTCACATCTAAAAGAACCTATTTTGTTTCAAGGGCAGACAGAGAAAAACTATTTGCCGTTTAATTTGCAATCTTAGCAGTTTTTTCCCCAATGAATCTTCTCTAGATCACTTTGTTAAACTTTGTCAATCAAATCCCTTTGTGGCTGATTGTGACAAATTGCTTTTAAGCCTTTCAAAAGAACAAGTAGACATGAAAAATTCAGTTTTAACATCCAGAATCCTAACAGACTGGATTGATCTTTGAAAGGCTTCTTTTAAGAGTTACCAGTAGGAGATAGAGACTACTGTGAAACTAAGTGAGCTGTAGAAGTAAATGGTGATTCAAAAGCAGCCTTTATTGGAAATGCCATCATTTTGAGATATGAAAATTATAAAGGTGGCTGCGTAGCTGTAAGACTTTTTCTTTTCCTGCCAGTGCTGACACAGTTTTATTGACTGATGGAAAAAAAGGAGTGTGCTTACAGATTTGTGCTTTCTTGCCACCAGAAGCTTGGAGATGCTGGACTTCTGTGTGCTGCTGCTTTTTAGCTTCTTCACATTCAGAAGTGATTCCCAAAGCTTCAGCATATTTGCTTTGGTGTACATTGCAAAACCCTGTTTTGGAAAATACTGCCAGTAGTTGTTTTTTAATGACTTAGTTTGTAAGTGGAATCATTGTTTTTTAGTGATAAACTATGCAATGTTTATTGCTTCTTTATAAAAAAAGGTTGTATGAGAATCCTATCAGTCCTTCCTTTCCCTTATGAAAAATGTCATGAATGAAGCAAAGATAGGAATGAACACTTTATCATTTACAATATTACAATATTACATCATTACAATACGACATGATGGCTTTGTCCTCAGTCATAGGTCTGGCCATTATGATGCTGCAGTTGGTGTGTACCTGAAGCAGCCATTCTATGTATAATTCCACATATTATAATTTCCTTGATATAGGTTTGTGACTCCCATTAATCTTAGTGACATGCATAGTGCAGAATGAGGAAAATCAATATATAATCCCCCTCTGTATCAATGCTTGTAATTCACATCATATTAAAATACTGTTTATAATGTCACTGCCACTTCCCAGTCATTTTTTACAGGCATCAATATTTTTATTTTTCCCTTCAGCAATACATGTTTCTTGTCATTCAGTGTTAACTCTATTCCAGATGACAGTAGAGGCACAAACTGATTTATGCAAGTTCATTGCAGTATCTGTCACATGATTATATTTTTTGTCTTTAGAGCTGGCTACTGTTAAGGGAGAATGTACCTTGGTGGACAGCACATAATGAAGCAGCTCTGTAAAAAAAAACCACTTGTTTTGGTTTGGTTTGGTTTTGGTTTTGTTTCTTTTTAAAAATTTGTTTATTTTCTGAATCTATTTAGCTTTACTGTTTCAGTGACAGGATCCCTTTTGGAGGCTGTGAGTAGTGAACAACCTTAGAATCTCCTGTCATTGAGCATATTCCAATAAAGCCTCAAAAGTAGTAACAAACAAAGAAAATGACAAATCCACTGTATATGGTGAATCCTCCATGCTGTCATGTCGTGTCCATGCTTATCATCACTCTTAGCAGGACGTAACACCTGTCACATATTTCTGACATTGAATACAAAATTTGTCTCAATGTAGAACATGTTGTTTCCACTTCAAATAGTTAAGGATATTTCAGGGTATTTCAGATAAATAGCCTATCAAAAATCTCATTGAAGCACAAGTTCAAAGAGCAAATGATCTGGGCAACAAGTATTGGGCTTTTGATGAGCCAGTTATGAAGAAACTATCTCCTTTTTTAAAGAGCTGTTTGAGGACAGCTTTTCTTAAACATGAGTGAGTTGAGCAGGAGGAGTAGCTGTAATAGCTCTTTAATCAGGGTCTTTCTGATGTTCTGGGTGCTGAGATGGACCTTGGCCAGGGAAGAGCCTGTACCAAACACCAGAGCTGTAATTGCCACATGAACTAGGAAGCAGGAGCAAAGGGACAGGATTAGATACAGAGATGATCCACGTGCAAATCTCTCTGTGCCTTTCTCCCATCTCCCAGCTTTCACCCTGCCCCTTGTGAGCTTGTGGCAAGAGATGCAGCATGTGAGATGTTGCACAGAAGAGGAGGCACAAGTTCTCCTCTAACCTTTTTCCCAGCCCATCTGACTTTCACGACCTTTTTTTTTCTAAAAGTATAAGCAAAGTGCAAACAAAACTTAAAAAAGGAGAGCCTGACTTCCAGTGTAGATTTTTACATCATTCTCTGGCTCTTCAGAAACTTAACATGTCTATTTTGAGATAAAAACTATAGATGATTTGCATCACCTGACGTACTGATAGAAGCT